TTTACTTCTCAACCAAATCCAGCTCCGTTTTAAGGTCGTAAAATCACTACCTCCCGGGTCAGTGTGAATACAAATGTTACATGTAGTGTCACTAATCTGTGGCTGAGATCAAGCAGATTTTTTCTTGATTTCTGGTCATCATGAAGTGCCTGTGTTTGTAATGGAGGTTTTCCCAGGCTGGTTCTTTTCAGGAACATGTAAACAGAGTATTTTCACACTCCCTCCCTCTGTGGCAGTCTGACTTCACCCCCAGCTCTGTGGGAAGAGCAAAGAGCTGTCCCCGGCACTTTGTGTCAAGGCCTGCAGCACGGTCAGCCCGAGACATCCAGACATCCTCGATGTGAAGAGAAGAGAATGGGAGAGGAAGAGAAACTCTGTGTGACACAGAGCGGGGAGGCGGAGGAGGAGAGGGGACGGGGAGGTGGGGGAGGGAAAAGGCGAGGCCGCATCAGACGACTGCCGAGCTGCATCCAAGTGTCAGTGTCCCAAAATAGTGGCGAGCGACGACCAGACTGAAGACACCAAACAAACAACAGCTCTCAGATCAAGTAAACATCGGCTAACACACAGGACACGACAAACTGTGAAGCCTCCCTCTGTCTTCCGGTCTCGTTAATCAGAGCTGTGGAGAAAGCAATCGAAGGGGACACCCGTCCTATTAGAGGAGGTTGCCGCCGTCTCCCCCCCTCCTCTGACCGGGGTTCTCGCAAACACTTTGCCTTCGAAAAAACATTGACAAGCTCCCTCTGTGCGGTGCTGTGTGGACACAGAGGACAGAGTCTCGTCTCCAGCAGATGTCTTGTGGCGCCGACTATAAATAAAGCCAATGAGACCAGCCGGCCGCTGACGAGCACAAGCCGCCGCGAGGCCGTGTTAGCTTTGCAAAGGGCCTGTCTAGTCTTGGCACGGCAGGCGGGCTAACATTTGGCGGGCCCTGCATCTAAAGCCTGTGATGCCTGTGAGCTTTGTGTTCAGGGTTTGAAAGGAAAATAAAGATTTTAGCCCCTAGATTTGAGGGTTTTTTGTTTTTTTTTCCAAATCAAAGTTGTTTTCCATTTAGTGGCAGGTGGGAGAGAAAACTGAGGAAACGAAAACATGGATGCAGTGGAAAACATGTCATGCATTGTTCATTTCTCCTCTTTGCAGAAACATATAGTCAATTTAGCATGTGTTTAACATCAGTGAGAAGAGGTACAACATCTAATGTATTTACCATAATGTAATCCGGGGCAACAGTCAGAGAGGAGCGCACCAGTGTAGCCTTGTGTTTCATTGATGACCCTGACAATCCCAAAGGACATTGGTAGCCCGGGGGCCTGTCTGTCTCTATTTAAACCGGTCTAACGGCGCCTTGTTTGGAAAGGAGCGACTTTCACTTGCCAAGACTGTGTAGGCAGCCTCAATTAAGATGTAATGCGGTGTCATTTTATCGCACATTTCATAGTAGGTAGGCATTCACAGCCAGTGCTCCACCAGAGAAAATATCCCAAGATGGCCATGACATGGAACACTTACTGTATCTCCGCAATAATCATCACAAATGCGATGAAAAGGCCGATGCACAAATCAAATCACACCCTGCTTTTTAGAGGAAACATTCAGAGTATAAGTAGGAGTGCTTTAATTTCATGTTCCATTACACGCCGCTTAAATGTACAATTACATCCAGGCACATTTCTCCACGTTACGTCTGACAGAAAAATGGAGGACAGAAATCAAAGACAAAGATTCAGGAAAAAAAAAAAAAAAGGGCTGACGACAGATTGTCACAGTGAATCAGTGAGGAGTCAGGAAGAAGGTGGTGGCGGGGCGAGAGAAGGGGAGTCGCCCTTATGAAAAAAAAAAACCTCCGTCAGAGTCCACAGAACACGCTCCGTGTGAGAGGTGTGTCCTCCATCGTGAGTGTAGCAGGGTGTGATCTTTAATCCTTGAAGATGATGGCTGCACCATCTGAAAGGAAACCCAGTCAAAACTCTCCTGTAATATCTCGTATCATTTCTGACCTTTTTTAAAAAAAAAAAAAAAAAAAAAAAGAACTGCTGTAAATAAACAAAATGTTGTACTAACAGGCAACAGGAGGCGCTGACTGTGTGTGATTTCGGTGCACCGACTGAAAAATGTAAATACAGTCTCTGGTGTTACAGTTACTTTCCAGATTCTTGTCGTCATAGCGATGTTGCAGAGATGCTGCACTGAGCCACTGGGAAGATTGTTGTCAAGAAATACTTCCAGCACATAACCCCCGTCTAAAACTAGAGATGGGGCTGACGGATGAGGAGGTGTTTTAGAGGACTTTAACTACGCCCTGACTCCGGATCCACGCGTCTGTGTCTGTGAAACACAGTTTCAAAGTTCCCAAACCGGGTCTTTCTTTCGCAGCTGTGGCCATCGTTCCTATCAGTAAATTATTATGTTATAATCAGCAAATAAACTGATGAGATCTGGGAGGTGACGAGGTGACGCTCAGGTTAGCGGAGAGAAAACAAACTCTACGCTTTGTTTTCTGTCTGTTGCGATGAAGATTAAATGGTCAGTTTATCATTTTTAGATGTGGAAATAAAATCATAAGATAAAGAGTGTGTATTTGGAAATGAAGGTGCTGTTGTTATATGTTGAAGAGGCCCATTGTTCTCCTCATCCTGTTTATGCTTAAAGAAGTCATGAGCCTCACGTGGTTTGGGACGTCGTGTATCTTTAGTTTTCCTGTGTCTTAGGACATTTACATAAGTAGTAGATGTGTATGTACAGTATATCTCGTGGTTATAATCATAAGTTAGCATGTAATCGACCAATCCGTGTCCATTTCTTCCTCCTTTGTTATATAAAAAGTTTAGCCTGACTCTGTGTTGTTGGGACAGGGAATGATTCTGCTCACCAACTTTGTGTGAGCCCTGTCCTTCTTATTGATCAAAAATTCATCTTTTCATTAATAATCTTTGGGTCGTTCGGTGTCTATGTTTTTATTTCTGTGTCTGTGTTTTAACAGGAAATCCACGACAGTAATCATCCGTCACAGTTCGGTGTGTAATGAGGGACTGTTAGTGATATTTCGGTTTGTTTACATCCATCCAGTTTATATTTCTTGCCCCATAAGACTAAATGTCACTGATTGTTTTAACGTGTATTTGTCTGATTGACAGGGATCACAGACTATCTATTAGTTATGGTGTTCGCTGCTTCTTTGTTCATTGACAAAATTTGGGTTTTACCCCTTCTTGAGAACTGAAAAAGACGGCAGCAAGAAGAAACCCAAACTTCCTCATCGCCAGGGGCAAAAACAACTGAAGTCAACTGATTAAAAAATTCAGGGAAAAGAAGGTAGAAGAAAAAGACATGTTGCACATTTTCCCTCTATGTGTGTTGCTTATTTTTTAACTGTTTTCCCATCAAAATCATTTGTGGCAAATTACTGCCAAATATAAGCCCACAAAATCAATTAATAAGTAACTCAAGCAGCGACTGCAGCAGCAGGAGATTCTTGTTGTTTGCCCTTGCATGCACGAGTTACTATCTTAACTTGGCAGCTGACACTTTGCCAGAGTGGATGTGCTGAGAGGTGTATTAGAAGTGATAATGAAGAACACACTTCCACTTGAGAATGAGGCAATTAAAGTGGGGTGTAAACAGCAGAGGGAGGACTGAGTGTGACTTCGCTCCTGAGGGAATCCTCCAGTGTCTCTCACACCTGAGAGGTCTGCGGAGAGAGCGCTCGCTCTGATGAGGATTCCTGATGACAGTTAGCGACAGGAGGATGTAACACAGTCACACGGTGTAGCGGGATGACAGCCAGGAGACTGAGAGCTGCACTCAGCCGGCCTACATTCAACACGGGCCACACCTGCATACTCCAGCATGCATTTAGCTCCACGCTGTATCAATCTTGTGACATTTCAAGGTCCCTAAAGGGTTACATGACATTAACACACAACTATAACATGCAACGGCAGATTTCTGTTGCAGTTAAAAGGCAAAAATGTACTAACAAAAACTCAAAAAAAAGTAATAATCTGGAAAGAAGTCATGTGTCACAATTAGTGATAATTATAATAATAACACTGCACTGTGCTTGTGCTTGCTAAATTACCTGTAGGTGTGAATGTAATTTTGAATGGTTGTTTGTCTCTATATGTCAGCCCTGTGATAGACTGGTCACCTGTCCAGGGTTTACCCTGCCTCTCGACCAAGCTGGGACTGGCTCCAGCAGCCAGCGACCCTCAAAAAGATTAGCAATATAGTAGATGGATGGATGGATGGATGGAGGTTACTCTGTGCTTTACAAACAGCAAATTGCTGGAAAATTGGCAATTAGTGAAATAAAGTAGTAAATAAATTTAATCAACACATAGGGCTATTGCAAACAAATAAGTATTTAAATATAAAACATGCAGGGTGCATTTTTATGTCTTGATTTGGCCAGTCAAACTTAATCAAACTGCAAACAGAAATCATAATTATATGTATATGCATGTGCTGTAGGAGGCTCAAGCAATGTAAAAAGATATTAAATTATTATTTTAATTTACAGAAGAGACCTATAACCAGTGTGGACACTGTTCAAATCCATAGAGTTTACATTGTTACTTATTTTTTTCATGCTAAACAACTCATTTGAATATTTGAAGTGAGATCATATCCCTTTTTTGGCAACTATAAGTCAGAGTTTCAAATATTAAATTAATTAACTCTTGGGCTATTGAGAATTATGTGAATATTTTCTTCTTTATCATAAAAACGAATTGTAAAAATGTGTGGAGTGGCAATGTGGTTATAAATGTGTAACTTTTGGTCGTTCAAATATTCAATAAAATTCAATACCAGAAAAGGCGTGGCAGAGTTAGCAAGTTTGTAATTCTAAAAGAAAAACCTTGACTCAAGGTCCTCTTACTAATTTTCGATGCTTCCAGCTGCTTGAAGGTCTTCATCAGCGGAGTTGCGTCAATCGGTATTAGTCGGTTTTGGGTCTGTTGTTTTTACTCAGGCAGTCCTCGGACACACGGAAGGGGTCCTTCACTGATGACGTCGGTGGTGATTTGGAAGATGTTGTAGCCGAAACTTGATAAAACATTACGTTGTTTTTAAGTCAGTGTTTACTTATGTTTACAAATGCGTAGCACGTACTACAAACCACAAAATGACACAAACTACGCATATAGCAAACTAAAAGGTAAGTTTATTGTTTATTTATTGACTCTAAACAAAGCGGCGTGTTAGCTAATAGCTAGCTTCTAATAAGGTTAGCCTGTTCAAACAGACTCGAGCTGTAGTTAAAACACTAGTTGCCGAACTCTCTTCGAAAAGTGTGTAATTTTAACATTGACTCGGTCAGCTAGAGTGTTATTTACGGGATAAGACTTCACTTAAAATGGTTTCTAGTTCAGTTGGTGCTTTGGACACAGTCGGCCTATAATGATTTACAAAGCAAGCACGTTATGTCAACAAATCCAAAACTTTCAATATCGGCGACTCAGTGCTCGCCACCGTTACACTGATCAATACACTGTGTAAAAGTTAAGCCATTATTGATGGGCAAAGATTGGGATAGATAGGATTGTTTCTATAAATTCACATTTTGCTTGGTGTATCAGCTGCTTATTGAATCAAAGTTTGGTTGCTAAGACTTCTTAAAGAACTAGTGAGCTATTTTCTGGCGGTGTTACCGAACAGTGTTTGGCATTAGTTTTTCTCCTTAAAATTACAGCGGTACGGATAAATTGTAGATGGTTAACGTAACGTAAAGTAAAATTAGATGAAATGAAAGACAAGTCGGTGGCTGCACCTTTTTAAGTAGCCTTGTAATGTTAGCTAGCAGATATGAGCTTCTGTAGTTTCTATAAATAGAGGATCATTATGTACTTCACTTGTTGAATTCAACAAATAATTAAAGATACAGTTTCAGTAACTTGGTCACTTACTCCTTATTCCATTAAACAGTAAGAAATTTCTCCTGCCACAGTAGCAGGTAGATCTGACAAACTTGTCTACAGTTTAAATGTGTCAGCATTAAACTGGTCAACCGTGCCATACTGTTTTTTAATTAGACTTGCTATGTAAGTTCCAGCCTTAATTGAATCTGATCTGGATCTGGCTTCTCAGCTTCAGGTCACGCTAAAGCAGCCATGCCTCAGAAACCTCAGAAGAACGCCCAGACGGCACACTACATCGAGCTGGGAGGTTATCAGTACTGGCCTGTGCTGGTGCCCAGAGGGATCAGACTGTACACCTACGAACAGATCCCAGTGTTTCTGAGGGAGAACCCCTACATCACAGATGGATACAGAGCCTACCTGCCCTCCAGACTGTGCATCAAAAGGTGAAAAGCTTTATTAATCAGTGACTTCATTACTTATCTTGTATTACCTCACTACTCCCCAAAGGAGAAATTGTGTTTTCTCTTGATCACTCCTCATGGAAGTCAGTGTGCAGAGTCAGCTGTAGTGGTTGGCTCGGGGATGTTTTAATCAGCTGTCTGTTGAATATTTCATGCAGTGCTTTATTGCGTTTTTAAAATTTAGATCAATTTAGATTCATCCTCTCAGTCCACACTAAAACTGTAGAACACTGTTTATATAATAATACAACATAAGAGGAGGATGATTTCCTTTCAACAGTGCAGGAAAACAAAACTTTGTCTTTTTCTCCTTGACATGCAGTAGGTTTTTGTGTTGATTCAGTTTGTCTTTCTTTAAGGATACTTCCTGAAAAATAAATCGATATCCTGAAATACAGATGGGGTTTCCTTTTTCTTTTATTGAGAACAATATTTAACCACTGACAAATATTAATTCGGATTTTGTGAAGCAACCGAAGTTTGTTCGGGGAGTTATAACAGCTAATTACACTAAAGCAATTTTATTCCAGGCAAGTATGAATATAAATACTGTGAGCTGTGCAGCTGAGATTACTGATGCCAGTCTGTAGTGAGGGATGATTTTAGGACGAGGAGAACTGACATATTTTATCTGATTTTGAAGTTGGTAAATCCTCTTTTGCAGCCTCTTCATTCTGTCCAATGAGACGGTGAATATCTGGAGCCATCTGTTGGGCTTCCTGCTCTTCTTCTGTCTCGGGGTGTACAACATGGCCTCTGTGCTGCCGGCCTTCGGTGCCTCCAGAGAGGATTACGTCATCTACTCCATTGGGCTTTTCTGCTTCCAGGTACAGGACTGAGTTTTCCAGTTACGTCAGCCATTACTGTGTGGTTATGATGTCATCTTATTATGATGTCTCTTATATTATAAATACAAAGCACTGGTGGTTTTGTTTTGTCAGGTTTAAGTATAAATATCTGAACTCATACATGTTTGCTTTTTCACACCAAATTCTAAGTTTGTTGTCCAGTTAATAAAAATGAATAAGGCTTAATTGCAAAAAGATATTTAAGGTCTGTTTCTGTCACCTTCACATTTAGCAAAGTTTATTTAGGCTTATTTTAGCTTGTGTTCTGCTTTTGAGGCTCAGTTACAACAAGGTGTTGTGACCTAGTGTTCAGCAATGTGGTGATTTCAAATTAGTCGCATATCTTGGAAACTGCATATGTGACAGTTGTGTGGTGTTACCTTAATCTGAGCGGTCACAGAATAACATCAGACTTAATCCAAAATATTGGCAGATATTCTTAGCAAATTAAAAATAAACACAGGGATCTGACAAACAGAGTCGTCACATCCAATTAAAAATGTGACTGTTGAGAAACTGGGGAATTTTGAAGTGAAGAGCGGTTGGGACATCTCTTGTTAGATTATTCGTATTTTTCTACTCGATATCTTGCTTTGTAAATCGCATCCTTCTCTGCTGTAATGTCTGACTGTCTCTTTTTGTTTTTTTGTTTGTGGCCCTCGCATGACTCAGCTGTGTATGCTGTGTTCGGTGGGTTACCACCTGTTCTGCTGCCACCGCTCGGAGAAGACCGGCCGCCGCTGGATGGCGCTGGATTATGCCGGTATCTCCATCGGCATCCTGGGATGTTATGTCCCCGGAGTCTTCTACACATTCTACTGCAATAATGTAAGTCTTCAGCCTGCAGTCCACTCCTCTGATTCATCAGGCTCCGACATCCGCGTGACGATTTTGTTTTACTTTGTCTTTATGTTGACATGAGTGGGCGGTAACTCAGGTCGTTCACCAGCTACTTCTCCCCTCAGCGCATCAGATCAGACTTGATTCATCCCACACAGAGACATTCAAGTGTCACAGCAGCAGAAGTAAAACAGCAGATACACAGTACAGATGAGTGACCGAAAGGACTGGCATCCTAATACCACATAACCACAACGCCGCTGAAATTGCTCCTGATGGAATCAGATGGGCAGATAAGGTGTCGCGTGTCTGAATATTATCAGCATTTGTTTGAAGATTAGTGTTATCTATTGAACAAAGTGTCAGATTCTATCGAGGAAAGAAAAATCAAGTTCAGCTCTAACCCTTTGATCTCGCTTCCCTGAGTATGTAAATCAACGTGTCACTGTTTCTTGCTGCCAATACATTTGCAAAAAATAATTAAATTTACTCAGGGATCCAACAGAAGAGGCATTACACTTTAAATTCATGAGCAAGGTCAAAGTTAAACACTCCTGAGAGATTAGTCACGAGCTTCATTGTACAAACCCTGTAGTATTTTTTGTATTTCTGAGCTGTGAGAGTTTTTTCTTTTCCCAACATTTCCAGAATCTCAGGCTGCTGAGACTCTGTCTTTGTTTACCAGGGATGTTCTTTGATGTCTTACCTTAGCTTTGAGAAATACAAACTTATGTTTATTTACATAAACCATTTTTTATTTAAGAAAGAAGCCGAGTCCTCAGAATTTAAATTTTGTCTAAATACAAACAGCTGTACAAGAAATTTACTTTCATAAAATGATATAAAAAGGCTACAGTGTTCTTTTGAGCCAGTTTCTTGTTGCGCAGTGAGATGTTTAGTTATAATGTTCCCTGTCTAATCAATAGCGGTCAATGTTTCCCTCCTGTCAGTGTCATTTTAAGTCGACATAGAAACTGTGAAGTGACCAAATTACAGTTTAGATGAGAAACCAACAAGTAAAGAAGATCATTGAACTGACTTTGACTGGTAACAATAAATAATTGAGATCAGATACCAGCACTATTTGCTGCTCATATCATTGATTATAGGGAATCTTTATTCTAACTCAGAACTACATTAAGGTAAATACCTTATTTACAATATAGCTGAGTAAAAAAATAAACAAAAGATCCACTTAACGTTGCTGTTAAACTTACTGCAGTTAGATGTATATTATCGATGATGTAAACATGGTTTTGTGTGAGCGTTAAATGCACTGAGAGTTTAACATCTATAACCGAACTCCCAGGAGACTTTGCAACATCCTCGGCCTTTGAGAAGCAGTAATTGAATAAAGCTGAAGCGGAGCCCACAGTCTGGCTCTGCTGATTGACTCATTGTTCCTGGTGAATAAGCAACACGACACCTTCGCCGCGCTCGCCGTTTGGAAAACAGCCTCTGATGACACAAGCCAGTTTCAGTTCCTTATTCCAGCCGCCCACCACCATGTTTTTTTCTGTCCGGTTTGCATCTTTCTTTTTTTTATTTTTTTATTTTTCTTACTCCTGAAGTGTTTGGCTTCGCTCCGTACTGTTCGCTTTCCCCCGCATATTGGAAGCGCCGGGTTATTTTGCCCCCAGAACGCAGCTGAAATCTGCTCCAGCCCAAACCAGATGGCTGCGTTCACGGTGCGGTCCGTCACTCCTGTTCCCCACCATATGACGTTCGCAAGTCTGGGAGCCGTCTCAGCGAAGGGCCCCCCTCCCTCAGTCCCTGCCAAGACTGGGGCTCTTGCTTCTGGGTGGCTCTACTCTTATGGCAAGCCAAGTCCCTACAGAAAAGCTGATTTTTATATTTAGCTAGTCAAAGTCTGGTCTCGTCAGAGTGCTGTAGAAATGTAGATCTGGAGGAGAGAACATGGTGTCTGTTAGCAGAAGAGCTTAAAAAATTTTTTTTGGCTGGAGCCGAGTGGGGCCTTGTTCCTGGTGCAAATTTATTCACTGTGAAATTCAGCAGGACTCGTCACACGAGGACGTGTGACTGGACGGAGGCCTACATCCACACAAACGGACAGAAGGGACCGAGAGTGTCCAGACTTTACACACTCACTTATAGAAGTTTAAATATCACGTGCAGATCCGAGGGCGCGCTGCAGCTTTGCTTTTATATTTTCATGTATATGACAACAACTGAAACAGTAGGAGAGCAGATGGACAGATCTTCACAGCTTTTTTTTTCCAAGCAGATTAGTTGTATCATTGTAATGCTGATGCAAATAAAATAAACCCATACATGAAATGGCCTGAGGTGTTAATTAAAAAGAGAGAGAGAGAGAGAGAGAGTGTGTGAAAAAAGTGAAAGTGACCAACAAACACTCAAGTGATTTGGATCAGAGAGCGGTCCGGGGCTGCTACAAACAATTATTTTAATTCACGATTTATACGAAGATGTAATGAAAAATGCTCATTACGACTCAAACACATTAAGTGTCTGTGATATAAAACAGAGAAGTGTGAGACGCAGGAACGAGACATTTGATAGTTTTGCTGGATAAATGATTCATTCCCATTCATTCGACTAATGGTTTGAGCGTGAAACACAGAAGCTGAAAACAATGTTCTGTGCAGAGGAGGAAAGCACAAAAATAAATTGCTTTTCACAACAAGTTAAAACTCTTAAATTGAACCTGCTACATGTAGATACTGACCTTTGACCCTCTCCCTGCAGTACTGGCGGCAGGTGTACCTGGTGACGGTCCTGGCCATGATCCTGGCCGTCTTCTTCGCTCAGATCCACCCTCATTACCTCAGCAAGCAGTGGAAGCAGCTGCGCTCGCTCATCTTCTGCTCGGTGGCCGGGTACGGCCTCATCCCCACCGTCCACTGGATCTGCATCACGGGGGGCTTCTCCTCCGAGCTCGTCCAGGTGAGCGCGCTGTCCGCCGTGTCGCAATAACCATGATGTTCTCTTCCTTGATTCTCTTTTTCTTTTCTTTTTTTTGAGAGGGTTAAATTTGATGTTGAGCTGTGTGAACCTTCAATATTTTGACCAAATTTAATCTGAAAGTTGAAAATGATTTATAGAGGAAAAAATATGGAGGAAGAGCTTCAGACAACAGGTGCTGCACCGTGCTTCTGTAATAATGTTATTTATACTTACAGCTCTCTCAGCAGCGGCATGAGTCATTGTTTCAGGTTGTTGATGTTCAGTTCTGTCCACACACTGGTTCAGTAAATATTTCTTTTTTTTCCTTCAGGCTTTTGTTCCTCGTGTCCTGGGCATGTACTTCATCGCAGCATTAGCTCTCATTTTCTACGTTTCCAAAGTTCCTGAACGCTACTTCCCAGGTGAGACTGCTTTTTCATTTCCTCCGGCGTCTCAGTCACTCTGTTCTGTTCTCACTACTACAATACGATACAGTATAAGTATTTATAGCTCCAGAGTTGATCATAAATGATCAATATTATAATATTAACCAGTGAAATGTTTAAGAGGCTCGAGGTTGTAGTTTTATTTTTTGGAGGCGTTTTTAACAGCTTGAAGCTTCATAAAAAATGTTTCAGATTTTTGTTTTATGTGAATTTGAAGCATTTGCACATTTGATCTGGTGTTTTCCAGATCTTAAAAAACATTGCACAAAAATATCTGGACAATTACCTGCAGAGTATCCTGATGTACCTCAGCTGTTGTGAAGGATGATGTGGCACAAGTAAAAGACCAATGTTAAAGATGCTTTAAAAACTTACTCTATTACATTATATTCAAAATCACAAATGGTCTTTCAGTGTGTCAGGACTTTGCAGCCAAAGTAAAAACTGTCAAGACTCTGGTTTAATGTTTCTGCAGGTCAGCTGAACTACCTGGGCTCCAGTCACCAGGTGTGGCACTTGCTTCTAGTGCTGATGTTTTACTGGTGGCACCAGACATCAGGCTTCATCATGGCGTACAGACACAGCCAGCCCTGCCCCGACGCCCCCCAACACGCCTAGGACACTGCTGAGCACTCTGGGAGTCCTGCCGCTTTGAGACGGTAAGAAGCAGCTCCACTGTCACTGTACTGAACCTGACAACTGGAGATATCTCCCAGTGTATCTGTCATTAGGTTTCACTGTTAATCAAGTGTTCTGGTCTAAATGTTAAAGTCACGTCCAGTGATGTGTCTTTTACTAGTGGTTAAAAAGATTTTAGAGGAAAATTGGAAGAAAAACGATGGTGCATTTGGCTTCTACTTTGTTTCTGAATATGAAATAATATGAAATCCAAGTGAAAGAGAGACTGAGTTCGAATATAAGCCTCCAGCTGTTTTCTTGGCTGAGAGTTTTAAACAGCTTCAGTTTGGGTAAACTCAAACCGGGTGATGAAAATTATTTTTTTAAAAACAGAACAGAACCGGAATCACTCCAGGATTATACTTTAGATTTAGTTTTTAGTGGCTGTGGAGTTAAAATTTAAAATGAAAAGTTCATATTTAGAGTTTGAAGTTGAGAAATATGTTTAAGTGACATAATTAACGAATGTTTTTCACTTACAGAACATACGTCAGTTTTCATTATGTGGTACAGACACTTTAATTGGTTTTAATTATTATGATTTTAATTATTAATTCTCTCATCATTGAAACTGTTTGTTTCTCTCTCTCTCTCTCTCTCTCTCTCTCTCTCTCTCTCTTTAGGTTGGTGAACAGCTGCAGCGAATCCCAGCATGCATTGGACAGAAGGCAGGGGCACACCAGGCTCTCAGTCCATCGCAGTGTTACCACTTACCTGTGAGTCTCCGTGACGACAGAGGAAACCAACAGAGGGCCAGCGAGCCTCCAGGATGTGGAGTGTATGTATATCTTTAAGATAAAACGGGACCTCTGAGTGGTGGAAGGTGAACAGTCACTATTGTTTTTTTTTTTACCAGCTTGTCAGTTTTGTTTGAGGCCATTGCACTGCATTCAAATTTACAGAAGTTTGAAATAACTGTCTGTTCCTCTGTATAAATCACAGACAAAAAGCAGGTTCAGTCCAGTAGCATTTCTTTTTTTTCTTTTCTTTTTTTTAGAAGAGATCCTGCAAATTTTTGTAAGTGCCTGTAAATAAAACATCATGTAGCTCTTGGAAAATTAAATTAACTCGACTTATATGAAGTTTTGCTCTTAAAATTCCCAATTTTCAATTGTAACACTTTATTTTTAAAGTTGTTCTCAACCTGAGGCGTTTGATACTTTGAAAACAAACCACAACCTTTAAGCTTCTTTCAGTAATTAATCACAATAAATGTCCTTTAAAGGGAAAATGAAATGTTTCAGTTGTTAAATGTCACCAGTGGGTGTTAGAAAACAATCAGTTTTTAGGGTGTTGTAAGCTTAAATGGTTGAGATGTGTAGAGTTAAACTCAAACCAAATTATTTCTAATGGATTCTCTCTTCTTCCCAAAATGTCAAAATCATTTTGTAGCAAAAACAAGCAAAAACTGAGCAGTATCTTTCTCTTTCATGTTAATGTAGATAGAAAAACCAAAGACTCGGAGACACTCAACATTTTCTCACGTTTTAGGTTTTTGTCCTTCATTGGGAACAGTGTCGGTGTTTGTGTTTTCTTACCGCTGAGCGAGACGAACAACAGGTTGTTTTGGTCACAGGATGGTGAAATGTTGTACTTCAGACATGTGAGTACCTGGTGCTCCAGAATTGAATGTTTTTTGTTTTATGTTCTTTTGTGTCGGGGCTGCGTTGCCTCCGTTCACACTGACATGTACGTCAAGAGCTGCACAGGATGTTTGAGAGGAGAAGCCTCAGTGTTCACTACTGCAGTGTTTTCTATTTATTGAAACTGCGGCTCGTTAAAGAAAAGCTGTCGGCTCACAGGTAAAACTATAGTTTAATTGAAAAATTCTTGCCGTCGCCTCCGTAAACAAACCCAGTGACAGTTGAGTTGTGTGGAGGGCGAGTGGTCAGGGTGTGAGGGAGCAGCTCAGCCTGTAGGGGCTGCTAGTGAGACTTTTAAACTGTGTCCCAGTTCTAAACTCTAAATACTGATGTCTGCACTATATATATATATATATATATGTATAGTTATATAAGTTAACTTCTTGTACAGTAAACGATACAAATATGCAACTGAAAAGTAGAGAAAATATTTGGTACAGACTTTTCAGTTGCTTATGTGTATTTCTTTAAAGCTTCAGCACCAGTTCGTTACTCTGGAAGAAAAGGCCCTCATCTGTCTGCGTTCATCATCATTGTAGAGAATGATGCAACGTGTGCGCTGATGGACAACAAACAAACTTAGGAAAGCTTCTGCCGGTCTTAAATTTCATGATTTGTTTGTTTTTTTAGCATTTATTATAGTTCGTTTCAAGGCTTAACTACATCCTGTTGTGCAGCCGTCACTTGATTGACTCTGCACATCGTCACTTTTAAGTGTACGTCACTGTAATTACTGTCGAGTTACAATTCATTTGAAATCGGGACACTTTTGTTTTTAAAGATTCCAGCACTGATTTAACTTTTTAGAAACGTGTAATCCACACGTCATTGCACTTCATAATACAACTGCAGTTTTCCTCTGTACTGTGCAGCTCTGTTATCTACTGTAGATTCAGACTTTACTACTTTGCTTCTTCTCATTGTTAGAAAATAGTAACTGCTTTTTCTGCCTGAACCGATGAGAGACTCTCCCACTGTGGGTAAACTCAGTGTTTTCAGACGTGTAAACGTTCTCCAGCTCATTTAGGGTGATGTGCAATGTTAAAAGTCGATTTTTAAATTTTTTTTTTCCTTCATTCCAAAATGCAACACATCCATGCTGGGAAGATGAATCACTCAAAATGTAAAAATACTAGTCTTAATGCTTCAAACATGAATGCATGTCCCCTTAGTCATCATTCAATCACAGTAGGTGTCCAGTTGAATGGTAGCTGTCTCATTTTGGAATGAAAGTCATTTGTTTTCTGTGTGATACGTAATGTTTTTAAGATTTAGACGGAGATGAACGTTCTCTGGTGTTACGGTTTCAGATTCTTTTTGTGGTTCTGTGTTAAGTTATTCATTATAAACCTGCTCTGTGAAGATTTCTCTGAAAACATGTCGTCTTTGATAAGCTCTTGTGTGTCTGAGACTTGTTTTGTAGCAGCTGAAGTTTTGTATCTTGGACTTTTTTCATACGCGAGCAATCAAACTGCTGAACTCGACTCTAAATAAAATTAACTGTGTACTGTTTAAAAAGTGTTAAACTGCTTTGTTTTAAAATTCCACTTTACAGCATCCACCTCCAGCTGCACTGAGATGAATCTTATTTATTGCATCAAACAGCAGTAAAGCATGATAAATACAATATAAGATTTACCCTGGTGAAAATAAAAAGTAAAGTATTTGTATCAAATGGTTCCAATGGTGAAAACACAGCAACCTTTAATTCAAACCAATGTGCCAATGGGTTGTGTAGGTAAATGCTTAAGGCCGTCGACGTAGAGCACACAGAACGAGTTCATGGAAGAATTCAGCGCTGAAAGGTGTTGTCATGGAGACAAATGACCTGAATATTACATCACAGATTTCGCAGTCAGTCTTAAATGGGGGGGGGGGGTTTCCCTTTTATGAACTATTTACCTCGTTCTGCAGCAGAGAGACCTGTGTTAACAAGGAAGTCTGGTGAAAGTCTATCTTTTTTTTTTTTGTCAACAAATCCCATGAAAAGACCAAAACCAATAAGTATAGCAGATGTATCCCAAAGATTAATCCGCAGCTGAAGTCCCTAACAGATGCACCATTTCCTAATGTTTGCTAAAAAAACTTACTTAAGAAAAGCACATTCTCACATTAGATTCGAAGATTGATGCCACTCTCGCATTTTGTACTTTCAATATGAAGCTAGAGCGATCAGCCAATTATCTTAGCACAGCAAAATGACTGGAAACAGGGAAAACAGCTAACATGGGCTTGTCTAAAAGTAAAAAAAAATAATTCACCAATGAAAACCTTTAAAGCTCACTAAATAACATGTTCCCGTAAAACCACAGTTTTGTTGATTTTTTTATTTTTCTTTTGCCAATTAGTGATCTTTAGAGGTTCTGGTAGCTTTCAGACAGAGCTGGTTGTAGCTCCACATTAAACAGACATATAAAAGAGGGGGTATCAATGGTTAAATAACCTTATTTAGCAAAACGTCAAGCTATTGCTTTTAAGAGTTTCGTTTTCAGTAGGAACCGATGGGCTGTGTTTAGAGACAGACTAATGCGATAAACCATCGTTGGTTTTGGTCTTTTCATGGCCTTTGTGGACAGTAACAAAATTGATAGAATACCACCAGCCTTGTCCTTTAACTGTTGGTGCAGTAGCCATTTCAATGAGCATAAATTATTCTAAAAATGTTACAAAGTCTAATGTTGAGAGCTGAGAAAGGAGCAGTGCAGCTTACACGTTTCTATATGGGTCAAACTTCTTAAAACACAAACCCTAGACTAGTTATCTAATGTGGCTGTGTGTTTTATTTCTTCCTTATTTCTAACAGAATGTGTTGAGTTGTAACTTCATAAAAAATTAACAGTAGTTACATACAATTTTACTGCAAAAAAAAGTTAGGAGCCTAAATTTAAACTTGTCGCAATTAACAGATAAAAGTTTTTAAGGAAGTAGAATAAAATTCGATCCCTTCTAGTATTCAGGTGACATGCGACAGATCACAGCCTTTTGTGGCTGCGTAAAGACTACTGTGAAATTATGCATAGAGAAAGGTCTAATGAGGATAAAACAAAGTGGTTAAGGTCATCTCCCAAATGATTTCCACCGACACGAGAGGCCAACGCGGGCCGATTGTGTCGTGTTTTTTCCGAGGTACTGTGCAGCAAGGCAGAGCCGAGCTCAGGTAAGGCTTTGTGGTGCTAAAAAAAAACAAAAAAAACAAGGCAGGCCATAAGGAGCTTTTTGCAGCGAGTCAAGCAGTCAAACGTCAAGCTTATAATCACAGTACAATTTTTCGAGTAGGTCTTCTGGTTCGAATGTCTCTATAAGTGTTAAGATGCAGCATAAAAGGCCTCTCAGCAAACAGGTACAGCTGAAAGATATGTGGAAACACTCGCACCCCACAGGACTTAGGTTTTTGTTACTCAAACTGAGAGCTGTGATAAAATTTTTTCAAAAAAGAAGCATCAGGACAGTATTAGCTTGTGGTTCCATGACTTGTTGAAAATGATCCCAAACCAAAAAAAAAAAAGAAGAAGCTCAGGGGTTATTTAACAGCAAACAGAGCAGGAAGACGCAAGAGAAGTCACTGTTTTGAGGGAAACGGTGCAGCTCCGAACGGGTCAAGATCCACCGGCTGCGAAGGCGCCTGCTGCTGCTGCTGCTGCTGCTGCTGCTGCTGAGGTCCACTGTGGATGACCAGTTCTGTGAAAGGCACCGCCCCAAAGTCATCCATGATTTTGCTTTCTCCAAGAGCACCGTGAAGAGAACCCGTCCAGGACTTGCCATTGGCTGTGCCCATGTCGCTCTTACTGTCGCTGAGGCCTTGATACTGGCTGTGCCGACATCCGTCCTGAGGGTGGAAAGGTTTGGCTCCAAACGGGTCTAAAAGAGCGTCGTCTACTGGCAAAGAGGCTCCTTTGTCTTTCCCTTCAGCCATGGTGATGTCAACACTGATGTTCTCCTTAGAGTCAGAGGTGCTGAGGAACTCGTTGCTGCTCTGCGAGTCTCTCCGGCCGACCTTCTTGTGTCTGCGGACTCGCTCAGGTGTGCGGTAAGTTGGCTTGTTGGTCTTGCGCCCCCCAGTGGGCGTACCGTGGTGCCGTTTCCCATTGCTGCCACCTGCTGTGGACTCCTGCTTGGTTTTTCTCTGGCGTGACGACAGCTTCTGGAGGCTGCGCTGCTTCAGCCTCTGTTGCTGAGGACTCGCCGACTCCTCAAAAGACGGCTGGAAGATATCGTCTGCGCTTCTGGAGGTGATGGGAGGTGGCGCCGTGGGGCCTGGGTGGAAGGGAGAGAAGCCGAAAATGTCAATGTCTTCAGGGGAAATGGGCGGCGTTTGGCCCATGGGAACATCACTGCCACTCCTTCCAGACTTGGAGAGGTTCCGGTTGAACGGTGCTTTGGTAAAAACATCAAACTCGTCCCCAGCTTGCTGCTCTTGGCTGACTTGCCTGAAAGGCGCTTTGGCAAAGATGTCTGTGCTTTCTGCAGGCCCGACAGGCGAGGCTCCTCCCAGGAAGGGAACAGCACCAAAAACATCCACAGCTTCCTCAGTTGGAGCAGCTCTCGCTCCGCTGGGCGACTCAGGAGGGGTGATCAGAGTCATCGTGGAATCTCCATGTGGACTTCTCCTGGGACTTGCAGCAGCTGCTTTACCAGCTGGAGGTTTCTTTGAGCGACTCTTGACTCGGCTAGGGTCGTAGTCCGAGTCAGAGCTGTGTTTGTCATCATCCTCCTCGCCCTCTTCCTCCGAGTCCATGAGCAGTGGCCTCTGTCCTAAATTCTCTGGCTCAGTGTCGTCGCCGTGCTCACTGTTCAGTGCCTCATCCTCCTCTGGCTCTTCATCCTCGCTGCTTTTCGGTGAAGGAGGGTCAGACTCAAAGTCACTGTCAGACTCTTCACCTGATCTACAGTGACTCTTTTTGCCTGGTTTGTGCTCCTTGGTTGCAGGTGGCTGCAGATCCTCCACAGTTGCTGAGATGGGGGCAGGAACGCTGACTTCCTCGTTGCTCTGCTCAGTCTTTATCGCATTGGTACCTGCAGAAACAACACACAAATGTAAGAGTTAAAGATGTTACCAGTTTACTTGTATTGTAAGACTCTGGATTTACTTGAGACCTCAGCCCCTAGCAGATGTTTTGATTAAGTTTAATTATGAAAGTTTTAAATTAAAGGACGAGTGAGACGGAGAATCTTGCCAGTACAAGTACAAGTTTTCATTTCCTAATAATACCTCATGGCCTGTGTGATATGTGGCATTACTGAAATCAGGATTACTTGGCTTCCATTTGGATTTCCCCAAGTCCACAAATACAAATCCTAATAGTTTGTCTAATAATAAAGCAGAAGGAGCGACGAAGGAGAATCACAAAACTCAATATGGTCTGAAAGCTGCTCTGACTTCTCTACTCTGACTCTGCAGTAAGAAGAACAGGCTTAGAGGCCAAAGAAATAAGATGCCTGGCTTTTCAAGATTCACAAAATTGCTTTTAAATTCAAATCTCTTGGTAAAAAGATTGAAGCTGACAGTTACTTCCTCCAGGCTTACAAAAATAAAGCTTTGTACAGGAATTACTACTCCTTCTGCATTTCTATAAATTCTTACTCATTTGGCATTAGATGAAAAAAATTGTGCCTTATATTAATTCATTTCCAAGAGATTACAGTAAGGTATAATACATCATAGAATAATAAGGCATAAAAACATCATAGTATATGACTTGCATAATGGCAACTTAGAAATCAGTCTAATTAGCAAGTGGATAGTCTCCGATTATTTTGAAAATAAATTGTGCCATGTACAATGAGCCAATTTGTTGTTCCTTATTAGTGGAAGTTCTAAATTAGAAAGCAGAGAAAGGGCCCCCTGCTGTGAACATGAAGATGGAAACCCCTCCACGACTTGAATTGGCAGGACGTGATGACAGGTAAGCCAGATGAAACAAGGAAGCAATAAAAGATAAAATACAATAACGCAGCAAACACAAAGTAGTAAGATATAAAAATTCATGGTATAGTAAGTAGAAGAATATCAATATCATAAAAACATAGTATAATAAGGCATAAAATGTAATAAAACGTCATAGTATAGTATGGCATGAAATCTGATAAAAATGCCATAGTATACTGAGGCATAAAACGTCATAAAAACATCATGGTATGGTAAGGCATAGAAAGACCATAGTATAATAAGGCATAAAATCTCATAAAAACATCATAGTATTGAAAGGCAAAAAATGTGAGAAAAATGTCATAGTATAGTAAGGCATAAAACGTCATAGTATTGTAATGCAAAAAGTTTCGAAAAAACATCATACTATATCAATGCATAAAAGGTCATATAAACACCATAGTATGACAAGACATGAGACAAAATAATACAATAAGGTATAAAAATGCCACAAAAGTCAAAGTATAGTATGGCATAAAACCTCAAAAATACGTACATCATACTATATTAAGGCATGAAAGGTCATAAAAACGTCATAGTATGGTCAGGCATCAAACAAGATAGTATAGTTAGCTATGAAAATGCCAAAAAACATCAAAGTATAGTATGGGATAAGAATGCCAAAAAACGTAACAGTATAGTGCAGCAAAAAAACTCAAAAACGCCTTAATAGTACTATGAAATATTTTTTATTGACATTTTATGCCAACATAAAACTATACTATATGACGATTTTTTTGGCATTTTTCGAGCCATGACTTATGCTTAGCATGTTTTTTGCAATTTTATGCTAATTTTATATTATTTCGTCTCAATAGCTTCCACATACTACATGAGGACGTTTTTATGACCTTTGTAATTGCTTTTTCAATATATATGATGTTTTTGTTTTTGACACTTTGTTTATGCATACTATATATGACGTTTTTGGCAGTTTTTCGGCCATACTATAACTTAGATGGTCTTTTTGGCAATTTTATGCCTAATTATATTTATTTCGTCTCATACCTCTCACATACTAATTGACGTTTTTATGACCTTTTAATGGCCTTATATACTATGAATGCTTTTGTTTTTGACATTTTATGCCAATACTGATACTATGGAGCGGTTTTTGGGGCATTTTTCTGGGCCAAATACTATAAGATTAGATTGTTTTTTTTGATGTGTTAATGCCCTAAATTATATTATTGTCGTCTCATAACCTTCACATACTCATGACGTTTTTATGACCTGTTATTGCTTAATAATACTATGATGTTTTTTTGACAGTTTTTATGCCATACTATACTATGGCTAGACGTTTTGGATGGACTTTGTATATTTATCGCCACATACTTATGTATGTGAGCTCCGTTAGAGAAGTGTTTTTTGGCAAGTGTATTTATGCTGTTATTGCTACTTAGAGACTTGATCTTTTGTGGATGAGTGCCGCGCTTGTACAGTGACATGACGTTTTTATGACTTTTATGCCTTACATAATATTTTGGAATATTTTTATTTTGAACTCATTTTATTGCCATAGGTTGCTATACGTAGTGGTGACGTTTGGGCATTTTTGGCCTCTGCGTTCCTGCCATAGCAGGACTTACTTAGAATGTTCTTTTGGCAATTTTATGCCGTTACTATAATTTCGTTTCGTGCGAGATGTGAGGAGCTGTGTGTACGTGGCTGGAGGTTGTGTACTGTGTATTAGAAAAACGTCATAGTATAGTATGGCATAAAATGTCAAAAAAAAATATCATAGTATATAAGGCATAAAAGGTCAATAACGTCATAGTATGGTCAGGCCATCATACAAGATAGTATGTAAGGCATAAATATGCCAAAAAACGATCTAAGTATAGTATGGCAGAAAATGCCAAAAAACGTCATAGTTATAGTATGGCATAAAATGTCAAAAAACATCAATAGTGTAATTTAAGGGCATAAAAGGTCATAAAACGTATAGTATGTGAAGGTACATGAGACGAAAATAATATAGATTAGGCATAAAATCACAAAAAGACATTCATGTATGAGTATGGCAGAAAAATATGCCAAAACGTCATAGTATAGTATGGCATAAATGTCAAAAAAACATCATAGTATATATTAAGGCACTAGAAAGGTCATAAAAACGTTCATAGTATGTGAGAGGTATGAGACGATAGTATTAATTTAGGCATAAATTCCAAAAACCATCTAAATATAGTGTATGGCCGAGAAAAATGCCAAAAAGCGTCATAGTTAAGTATGGCAATAAAATGTCAAAACATCATAGTATTTAAGGCATAAAAGGTCATAAAAACTTATGTATGGTGAAGGTATGAGATCGAAATAATATATATTGAGCATAAAATTGCAAAAAACATCTAGGTATGGTATGGCCGAAAAATGCCAAAACGTCATAGTATAGTATGGCATAAATGTCAAAAAATATCATAGTATATAAGGCATAAAAGGTCATAAAACGTCATAGTTTATGGTAGGCATCATAATAGATAAGTTATATGTTAAGGGCATTGAAATATATGCCAAAAAACATCTTAAGTATAGTATGGTTAGGACAGAAAATGCCAAAAGTCATGGTATAGTATGGCATAAAATGTCAAAAAAATATCATAGTATATTTAAGGCATAAAAGGCATAAAAATCGTCATAGTATGGTCAGGCATGCAATAGCACAAGATAGTATAGTAAGGCATTAGAAATTGCCAAAAAACATCTAAGTATAGTATGGCAAAAAATGCAAAAACGTCAATAGGTATAGTGTATTGGCAATAAAATGTCAAAAA